GCTGCTGACAGTCACAGAGATACACAGCTGGGCTCAAAGACTGTGTGTCTGGGGCCTGGGACTTATCGCCTAAGTAAACCCTGTAATTATCTTACAAGCAGCATAATCACGTTGCATTATATTAGTGCAAGCATGAAAACATCAATTTGATAAATACAAACATTTCAAATAAATCACAAGTGGGTAAACCTGTTTCTTCTCCTCTCCCTTCCCCTAGTACACTGGGTCCCTTGAGTATGAAGTTGGAGTGGGCTTCTCTTCTGCTGAGAGCTGAGAGGAGAGAGAGAGAGAGAGCAGGATGTGGAGCAGGAAGGAGGAGGTCTAGCCTACCAGTGGTGACAAATGGTCAGTTAGCAAGGACAGGTAAGGCACAGCCTGGACCCTGGGAGCAGGAGTGTAAGTTAGCACTTGTTTGGAAAGCAGACCAGTCCATCCTCTGGTCCAGCTGAAGTGTGTGCACCACAGGACTGACTCAGCCATTCTGTCTGGGTCCAGGCCTGAGCCAAATTCACGCTCATGTGCATCAGGATGCATGTACAAGACTGTCCACMGCAGCACTATAAATGAATGACCTTCAATGGGAGAGTAGGCTGTAAAAGACAGGTGCATACAACGGATACTAGATAGCAGCTTTACTTGACCAGTGGCAAGTTTGCCCCTGGAGGCCATTCAGTAATATCTGAAGATATATATTTTTTTCTTTTTTGGTACTGGGGACTGAATCCACAACCTTCCGCATGCTAGGCAAGTGCTCTATCACTGAGTACATCCTCGGCCCTTTTTATTTTTTGAGACAGGGTCTCACTAGGTTGCCCAGGCTGGTTTCGAATTGAGATCCTCCTGCCTCAGCCTCTGAGTTGCTGGGATTACAGGTGTGCACCACCATGTATGGCTCAGTTTTTGTTTTTTAAAAGTGGGTGAAGGGGTGCTACTTCCATCCAATGGGTAAATGTTGGTAAACATTCTACAATGCTTAGGACAGCACCTGCCCTCCAACTCCCCTCCACTAATTAAAGATCTATTGGGTCTAAAATGTCAATTGAGGGGCTGGGGTTGTAGCTCAGTGGTGGAGCACTTGCCTAGCATATGTGAGGCACTGGGTTTGATCCTCAGCACCACATAAAAAAATAAAATGAATAAAATAAAGGTATTGTGACCATCTACAACTAAAATAAATTTTTAATTTGAAAAAATTTTTTAAATATCAACTGAGCTGAGGTTGAGCAATTTGGTATACAGCTGTGAGAAGGAATAAACTAAGCTACATATGCCATCATAATAATGAGTGGAAGTGGCAGGCTGCAAGTGTAATGTCACTTAAATAAATTTCAAAAGCATGCAAACATCCAGCACTGTGTCATAGGGGGACTGCGGTAAGCCTGAAGCAAGTGCAACATCGCACAACATTCAGAGCCCTGGCTGTTCTGGGAGGGGGAGGGGGAGGGCTGGGGTGGATTCCTTCAGCTGGGTGGTGGGTTCCCTACTCCCTGCTTATTAACTAATCCATTATGAAAATAAGTGCATCAAGGTGAGAGTTAGTCCTGTGARGAGCTCAGAAGGGTGGTAGAGAATTTCGGTGGCTCCAGCTTTGAATTGAGGGGCAAGGAGGGGTGCAGAGGCCAGCACCTCCAATCCGTTCCTTTATCTCCACTCCTAGGCTGCTCCAGTCTGACTTATCTGACCTCAGTGGCTCCTTGATGTCTCTGCCTCTCAGCTGCACATCCCCTTATGCCTCCAGGCTCCGACTCTCTAAGCAAACCTAAGTCTGGCCAGGTCTCTCTTCTGGGCCTTCTGGTTAGACCTGAGGTACTTTAYCAGCATAGGAGGCTTTCTGGACTTCAGCCCCACTAACTCCCTAAAAAATCAGTGACTCCAGCCAACTGTGGGGTGAATGAGTGTTCACTCCTGCAGACCTCCAGTTGCTGCCCCGTAGGGGGTCAACACTGCAGCTCCTGCCCTTTCCCCTCCCACACGTGGAAACAAGGACACTCCATTACTGAGCTCTGTCTGGAGGTGCTGTATAACCTGCCTTCCTGGCTTTCTCTGATTACCATTTCTCCCGCTGACCCTGCATTTTGGAGAATTTTATCTACCATGTGTTAGCATGGGAGTTCTCAACCCCACCTCTTAAAAACACCGTGTGGCTCAGACCTGACACCTACATGCCAGGGACGGTGGCAGATCAGCTCTGTTCTAAAGGCTCTCAGCTTTTACTGAGCAGCTCAAGGACTGCTGGAGCTCCAGGGTTTGATTTTACTTTGCATGACAAAGCATAGATCTTGTGACTAAAAGCTAAAAGAAGCTCTCTTGGCATTTCACCATGCTGGTTCTGTTGGACTGTGTTATGGGGGGCATATGCCTCTGGTTGGACCCCAGCATCCAGGACCCTCAGGGAGGGGGCTCTGCCCTGGAAGTCCCTCTTGCTTTAGAACCCTGTTTCAGCCTTGGGCCCTCTCACTCCTGCCATCTTGTCCTCTTCTGCCCAACCATGTCCTTCCTCAAGCCACACAAGAACCTCACCTCTAGCATCTTGTCTTGGCTCTACAGGGAGGATGTTAGCAAAGCCCTGGAGGCTCTTGGATGGGGCACTCCTGTCTGAGCACTCTGCRGGTGATACCCCATTTAGGTAAAGGCTGCATTTGGTCTTAGCTGAAGCTGTGGCCTTGGAAGATCAGGGGTGCAGGCCATGGGAGAGGATAGCACAAAACAGAGAATCATCTCAGCAACTTCCCTGGTGAGTTAGGGTGTCCTGTAGTGTGTCCTGTGTCCAGCCTTCCTGGGAGCAATTGCCTGTACATAGACTTAGCTCTGGGTAAGCCTCTGGGCAGCTGGTTAATATGGCTTTCTGGGGGTTAAAACATATCTGCAGCTTCCTCAGGCACAGTATGAAACCCCCTCCTTCTCTAAACGCAAACTGGGCTGGGCTGGGCTGGACAGGCAGAGCACAGTGCTCCAGCAGGAAGGACACCCTCTATTCAGCACTGACTCATGTGTGCTGAGTCTGGGGAACCTCAACAGCAGGGTATAACCTTGGAAGCACTTTGCCTAGCCTGGCCTCTCTCCATCACCCTCTCCTGACCATCTACCTGGAAAAGGAGGTGGGTAGGTAGGTAGGGGACCTGGTACTGAATCTGGACCTCTCTGTATGGACCCCATCTCTTTTCCACACAGGGGCCAGACAGAGCCTCTTAAAAGGTAAGCCAGGTCATTCTACTTCCCTACTGAATAGTATCCCCTCAGCTTTCCCAGCTGCTTTAGACCCTGCACGATCTGGCCCTCTGACCCCTGAGAGCATCTCTCACTCAGGGCAATTCTAGGGTCTCTGCCCCAGGTATTCCCTCCACCTAGGACGCCCTTCCCCCTTCCTTCTTCCTCATCGCCCAGATCTAAGCTTCTATAGTCGTCCTAAGTCTCTCCCTGACCAGGGAGATCTAAGGCAACTGATGATCACTTTTTATGACAGCACCTGTCTTAATTCCCTGCACAGTACTTAAGACAGTCCCAGTTATCTTGTTTATTATCTTCTCCCCCCTCCTTCTCCCAGAATGCCTGAATCCCCAGAGGGCAGTGGCTTCTGCTGTCCTGTCCCATGCAGAACCCCCGGGGCTGGGGAGGGAAGTGGGGGCTAGAACAGGTCTAGCAGAGAGCAGGCTCTGGGCACACAGTTGTTCAATGAATGGTTGAGCAAACCTAAATGGGGACATTAGCTGCTTCGCGGGCACGCGCTCCAGGCCGTGGGCCGCTCACGGTAGCGTGCTCGGGTTTTTATCTCCTGGCGAGTCCCAGGGGAGGGACACCTCCCTCCGCCCGCTTTCAGCAGACGCGCGGTAAATGCGCTTTGGGGACCAGAGGATAATAGCCTCTAGCGTGGGAAGATCGGGGTGCCCCGCACGGTTACTGGTGGCAAGGGGATTTTGCAGTCGCTGATCTTCCCCGGACTCCGGCATTAAGGCCCCAGTGCAAGACTTTCTCCACCTTTCCCAGTGGTTTCCACAGCGCGAATTGCAGATTCCCGTCCGATCCCAGGGATTTAGCGGTGGAGTCGGTGAAAAAGTAGGGCTCTGAGCGCCGCTCCCACTGAGGGGCAAGTCTCGGAGCCCTCGCCCCATGGTGGCTGGGACCAGGGTACGGATCTTGCTCCGGGACGCGGCTGGCAAGGCCCTGGCCCTTCCGGGAGCAGACGCCGAATCTAACCCCTGGGCCAGTGGAAGCGCAGTCCCACGGCGAGCTCTACGAGAGAACCCGGGCGGAGATGGGGGCGGAGGAGCCCGGGGGCAAGGAAAGGGACAAAGAGCGGCCCGCCCGACCCCCCACGTAGGAGTCCTATTGTTCGTCAAGTCTCACACGGTGCCGAACTCGGGTGCCCTCGGGAGGCGGGGGGGGGGGAGCTGTCGCCTATATTCTAGGCATTTGTTTATTAGGGGTGAGAAAGGGAGGGCGGGGGACGCGGGACCGGGAGGGGGCTCGGGTCCCATTTCCGCGCGTCGCCTTTAAGGGAAGCCCTGCCCTACCTTTCCCACCGTCCCCCTCCTCTCCCGCGGCCGTACCTGCATTTTAAAAGCGCCCTGTAGCCCTGGGATTGGCCAAGGCCGCGTCCTCYCGGCGCAGAAACTTGAACCGCGGGGTGGCTGGGGGGGGGGGGATGGAAACCCAGCGGACGGACAGTACCATCTCCACGGCTTCCCCCGCGTGTGCCCCTCCTCTCCCACACACCCCCAGAGAGGCCCAATCGGACGGGCGGGAGGGCGGGACCGCGGCTCCTACGCGCCTCTGGCAGGGCGCCGGGCGGGCGGGCGCACGGCGATGGGGGACGTGGGGGCCGGCCGCGCCTCCGCCAGCCCCCCGCACTCCCCCGGAGGCGGGGCCGGCCCGCGGCGCCCCGCCCCCTCCCCGCCCGGGGTGGGCGGAGCGGCTGGGGCTCCGGGAGCTGGGCCGGGGGCGGGCCTCCGCCTGCTTCGCCCGAGCCTGGAGAACCCCGGCACCGCGGCCGCCGACGCAGCAGTCGTCCTCGCTCCAGAGCCCTGAGGCGCGCGGGCTCCCGGGCGGCCCAGGCGGGTGCTGCGTGAGGGCGCGTGAGGCAGCGTGGGGCTGGCCGCAGGCGCCCCTGTCCGTCCCCCGCCCGCTCGCTAACCGGCCCAGCCAAGCCCCCGCGCGGGGAGCGCCGGCCCGGCGAGGGCGAGGGCGATGCCGCGGTGACGGCCCCGCCATGGCGAAGCCCCCGGCGGGGGCGGCGTCGGCGTCGGAGGAGCTGAGCCAGGTACCGGACGAGGAGCTGCTGCGCTGGAGCAAGGAGGAGCTGGCGCGGCGGCTGCGGCGCGCGGAGGGCGAGAAGGTGGGCCTCATGTTGGAGCACGGCGGCCTGATGCGCGACGTGAACCGGAGGCTGCAGCAGCACCTGCTGGAGATCCGCGGCCTCAAGGACGTGAACCAGAGGCTGCAGGACGACAACCAGGAGCTCCGAGAGCTGTGCTGTTTCCTCGACGACGACCGGCAGAAGGGGCGCAAGCTGGCGCGTGAGTGGCAGCGCTTCGGGCGCCACGCGGCCGGCGCCGTGTGGCACGAGGTGGCCCGCTCGCAGCAGAAGCTGCGGGAGCTCGAGGCACGCCAGGAGGCCCTGCTGCGCGAGAACCTGGAGCTGAAGGAGCTGGTACTGCTGCTGGACGAGGAGCGCACTGCTCTGGCTGCGTCAGGGGGCGCGGGCGGCAGCGGCGCCGGAGGTGCGGGCTCCCGCAGCTCCATCGACAGCCAGGCCAGCCTGAGCGGGCCACTGGCTGGCGGCGCCGCCGGCGCCGGGGCCCGCGACGTGGGCGACGGCAGCAGCACGTCGAGCGCTGGCAGCGGCGGCAGCCCCGACCACCACCACCACGTTCCACCCGCTCTCCTGTCTTCTGGGCCTCACAAGGCTCCCGATGGCAAGGCTGGAGCCACACGCCGGTCCCTGGACGACCTGTCGGCTCCGCCGCACCACCGCAGCATCCCCAACGGCTTGCACGGTGAGGATAACCACCTGCCGCCCTGTGCGGGTTCGCAGGGCTGCTACCGCGCTGGCGGCTCGGGTTCGTGCGGCCCTGGGGTGGGGAGAGGCGCCAGTCCTGGACCCGGTATCTTCAGCTGGCGTCGCACTCTTCAGCTGGCGTCGCACTCGGTCCGGGCGAACCCAAATTCACCTGCATGGGGCTTTGGGTGGGGGTAGTTAGTCAAGTGATGATGCGTGTTCCTGTCCAGGTTAGAATCCGCGGCCGGCGCTGTCCTAGAAAAGTTTCTTGCCTGCGGAGTTGTCGGTGTTACAGTCCAGCACTGCGGCGCTGGCCGGGGGCTTCATCCCAGGTTGGAAATCCTTGTCCCGGGACCAAAGGATCTTCATGAAAAAAACTGAGAGGCGCTTTGGGGCACAAAAGAATTTCCCCATACTTGGAGCAACAGGCGTCCCCCAACCCCAAGGGACATCCGCGGGGGTGCTGTGACTGCATTGCGCCTCTGCTTTCCCCAGCTGCATCCTGGACTCTCASGGGTCTGACAGACCAAAGGCAGGCTTGACACCTAGGCTGCTGACCAGAGTTCTGCACTTCTGGCCGGGGGGTCTTTCTCAAGGCTCTGAGATTTAGAGATGTAGTTGGAATGGATTCTGGCTTTTCACCTCTGTGTGCCTCAGTTTCCTTAGTTGTAAAGTGGAGAGGATGATCCCTGCCTCCTGGATTTGTGGTGGAGATAAGGCTCCCGAAAGGGTTTGTAAACTGTTGATGGCCTTTCAGGAAGTACAGTGGTCATCTGTGGCTAGGGTGTGGATGGGAGGATCTTCAGGAAGGCACAGCACTATCTTCAGCCATGTTGCTGCAGAGGGTGTCCCGATCTGGGTTCTGGGAGCCCAGCAGCCTGCCCCTGTCCCTGCCCTCTGTTCACTGACTCTGCCCTGCCCCTTCCCTCCTCTCCTGCCTGGTGGATGACCGTCCACCCTGTTCTTTCACGTTTTTGGAGGCTTCTTCCTGGTTCTGATGGCAGTTGCTACTGCCTGAATTATTTTCCTGGTGGTGGGGGACAAGCAGCTCTTTCTGGTTCTCCTTAAAGCTTTTTCCCAATTCAGAGAAAAAAAAAAACATATATATGCTTTAAGTAACTGCTCTTCCTCAAAGTGACAGCCTGAGCCATGGAGGGACACTTTCTCTTTGGTTTGATGACTGAGTGACTCTGAAAGCATATTGCGGGTGGGAAAAAGAAGAGTGGAGGTTATACCTGTGGAGGTGAGGGACAGCATAGCAGATTTTCCTTTATTTACCCCCCTAAGCCTGAGTTCAAGGCAGGTCTGGGTTTGGAGGGATATTTTGTTACTGATTAGCCATCTACCACTACAACTCAGGTTTCTTTTTGTAACTCTGCATCCACCCCGCCTCCAATCCCAGGCTTCTTAAAGCCAGCTCCAGTAGCTCAAAGTTAAGTGGTTAAATTTGGGGGGAATGCACCTGTTATTTAGAGTTCCTTGGCCCCTTTGACCTCATCTTTGGGAGGGTCAGTTTCCTGGGCCTCAGTTTCTCCAAGTGCAGTTAAGGAGGGAATGTCTGCAGCCCTCTGTCTGGAAATGAAATGTTTCTGGTTTTCAGCTGCGTCATCCATGACACTTGGCAAGAGCGATTCTCTGCGGGACTGTGGAGGGCTTGAGTGTCCTAGACGATGTGCAGGGAAGGTCTGGCATGTTTTGTGCAAGGAGACACATCTGGGTCTGGCCCAGAGTTTCAGTTGCAGCAGTGAATAATGCAGGAGAGGGAGGCTGGGCTAGACTCTGGGTTTTCCACCCCCTGGGCCCTGGTAGGTGTGGAGATATCCGGTTTCCTGCAGAATCCCCAAGTCCCAAGTCCACTTGGAACAGGTCTGCTGCAGATTTTGTAGCAGCAAAGCTTTGGTTTGGGGGAAAATGAAAACTCGGCATTATTATCATCACAAATTTCAGTTACAGCTGGGATTTCTTGTTTTGTTTTGTCTTTTAAAGCCATGGGTGGCCTTGAGATGTTCTCCTACCAATAGGAACAGAATGCCCAGGACCAGGAAAGGCCCTTCTCTAGAAACCAGGCTTTTCAATCCTGGGACCTGTAGCTTTAAGTTGGTGAGGTTCATGGCTGAACTGAACGAGGAAAGGAGCCTCTGTCCAGGTGCTGGTGAAAGTGGAGAAGGTAGTGAGTGGGCTTATGCCTTGGTTCCTGGGCTCAGTTCGTGCTCACAGAGGTAATATTAGCCTCACTTTGCAGACATGCATGTGGAGGCTCAGAGAGGTTCTGGCCTTGCCTTRGAAGACAGCTGCCATTGGAAGTACTGGTCCTAGGTGGGGTCTCCATCAGGTTATCTGCTCTGGCCTGTCGTCATTCACCTTAGCTACCAGTCAGGGCACCCTGGTGGGTCCCCATTCTTGATTCCTGACCCAGTGTTGCCCTCCTTCTCCATGCTGGGAGATGTCGCTTCCTTTGGTGACCGCTGAGCAGATGGTGGAGAGCCCCCCTTCCCAGAGCATCAGGCTGCCTTGCTTAGAATATTGGCTTCTTTACCTGCCTTGGGCAAGTTAGTCCACTTTGCCCAGCCTCTCTCTGCTTCTCTTCTGGAGGGTGAGGCAGAACCCAAAGGGCCCCTTTACTCACACGAGGTCAGTGAGGTCGGCTTCTGTACACTGTGGGTCTCAATAGTTGCTGGCGTCCTGGGAGCTTGTTAGACACCCGTTGGCTTCACTGCCAGACTCTGCTTGCAGTTTAGGTAGCCTGCCTGAAGGTTTGCACCTGAGCTTTATGTGTAGCTGCACCTGCTGCTGGACCATCGTGGTCCTGAATCCTCTGTGGGGAGGCTTCAAGTGGCAGTGGTGGGACATGGCCATCTGTATTCAAGGCAGTCCCTTGGCTGAGGCAGGCCTGGCGGGCCTGTGAATGCGTATGCAAATAGGACTCTCTCCTGAGCAGTTTTTTCTGGAGGTCTGGCCTAGGCTGTCTGAGGTCTGGACCAGCTAGGATGCTATTTGCTCCATGCCAGTGTTGTACTTTGAGAAGCTCAAACGTCAGAAATTCAGGTTCCCCCCTGGAACTGATGTGATCTGCAAACAAATGCATTTTCATTTCTTTTCCCTGCCCTTCCCCCACCCGGTGAAACCCATTGCTCCTCCTTACCCCCAGACCTGTCCTGCCCTCCTCATGCCCCATGACTTGTTCCCTTGTGGCTGACCCAGAGAAACCTCTGGCAAGCCCATGAATGGGTGCCATTTACTTTTTAAAGTTTGGGTTGAAATTTTGAGCTTCTCAAAAGGAGCTGGGTTTGTTCTCCAGCTTGTGTTTTTAAAAGGGAGGGTGGGGCAGGGGTAGTTTGGGCCTTTAAAAAAAGACAGAGTATACCAGCCCTGAATGGGCCTTTTCTGTGGGGCCTGTGTGTGGCTAATAAGGCCGCCTCTCCTAAGCCCAGCTACCCGGAGCAAAGGTCACTGAAGATAATGGGGTGAGTTATATAAGCTTCTTCCTCCCCCACCTGACCCTGAGGGATCTGTCCATGGCCTTGGAGTTCTGGGCCCTCAGGACCATGCACAAAAGTGGGTCCAACTGAGGAGCTGTCAGTCAGGTGGCCCACCCAGCGCTTTACAGTTTCCCGCAAAGAGCTTTCTAGTCATTCTGCTTCCCAGGACGGAGGCCTCAGCACTGGGGAAACTGAGGCTTGACTAGGTGTGTGGCTCTAGGTCTTGGCCTTTGGGGCCTGGGATGAGTCTTGGGTCTCCTGTGTCAGCAACCAGAGCCTGTTGCCCTGTTCCTGCTGCCCAGCAAATTCTGGGGGCGAGGCCRTGTACAGAGCAGGGTGGCTCCTCTTCTGCAGGCCCTGAGCCCTTTCCTGCCATCCTGTTCCCTGCTGCAGCTGCCTGTGTAAAGCGGTGACCCTCCTTCCTTGTGATTCTTGCGTTCCCTCACTCCTCTGATCTGGACTGGCTTCTCACGGCAGTGCTCATGGTGCCAGAACCCTCACACGCTGGGTCCCTGAGCTCCCGGGACACAATATTGTCCCAGGACCAGCACGCTCTGGGAGGAAGTCACTGTTGCTTGGTTCTCTCTTCTACCTGTGGGCTGTTCAGCACCACGTCTGTGCTGCTCATTTGCACAGCGAAGGTCTAACTTTAGGCAAGTTCTTGAATCTGTGTGGGGCCTCTGTTTTCTCTCTCTCTCTCTTTTTTTTTTTTTTTTTTTTTGTGGTGCTGGGGATTGAACCCAGGGCGTTGTGCATTTGAGGCAAGCACTCTACCAACTGAGCTCTGTCCCCAGCCCAGGGCCTCTGTTTTCTCATCTGCAAAGTGGGAAAACATGACCAGACCTTGGGTTGAGGGAAGAGGGAGTGTGCTGACCTGTGAAAACTGCAGCGTAGCTAATCTCCAGGCGACAGCACTCAGCTCTGGGCATGACCGGGGCAGTGTCGCTGCTGGCTGGGGCTCTGGCTCCAGGGTCAGAGAGCTCTGGGTGAATCTGGCCTGGCTGCTGCTCTGTGACTTTGGAGCTTACCAAGCCTTCTCAACCTTGGTGGCTGCATCTGTATCCTGAGAATAATAATATCCTGGTCCTAGAAATGGACTCTAAAGGATGGGTTTTGTGATCTTTCATTTTTGGTCTGGCCCTTGTGGATTGGCCTCCCTGGGGCGTGGGTAGGGAATTCCCAGACACAGGCTGTGAGCGGGGCCCTTGTACCCAGCGCTGTCTCAGAGCCAGGGTCCTGGTCTAGTTGAATAGAAGGAAGATGGCATTCAGCTAAGGTCTGGAAATGGGGTCTGGACCAGGGTTTTGAGAGCCCAAGGCCTGCAAAGCATACTCAGGTCATGGTGGGGGTGGGGGTGCTGTTTGTAGCCCTAAGGTGCTAGGATTGGAGGTGAGAGCAAAGTTCCAGTGGTTCAGACTTCAGCACCCACAAAATGTGGTGAAGGTGGACCATGCGGGCTCCAAAGCTGGGAGCTCTCCTTTAGGGGAGGTGTGCTAGCACCCACCTGGTGAAGGGCATT